AGTGCAGCTGCAGCAGCCTCTTGTCTGAGGCTGGTAGATGAATGCAGCAGGCGGAGGCCAGCAGGTGGCACTCTCGGGCAGGGTTCAGAGGCAGAAAGACAGGCAGCCAGTAGGAGGAGAGGCAGCCTTTTTGTAACAGTTGAGCAAGAGTTTGGGGATGAGTGAGGGGTGTGTCACCCCTTCCCATGTACACCCTAAAGCAGGATTTCCCAAGTGTGAGGGGTCTGCCTGCCTTTTTAGACCATGGAAGAGAAGCCACGATCCCCAGCACCGGTTGCAGAGCTGAAATCTTGATCCCTGGTGGCTCTTCCCACACAGAATTCCCAGCACAATCAGAGTGAAACCCTAATCACTGTTGCACTCCTGAATTTCCAGCGCCACACAGGCTAAAGCCCTGATCCTCAGCATGTCCCTCCATCCCAGCTCATGTCCCAGTTCCCTCCTCCCCTCCGCTAAGGGCTGAAGTCACAAGCCCTGGAAAGCCTTGCAGGAACTGAAGGGCTGAAGTCTCCAACCCCTGCCCCAAAACTGAAGCTAGGAGTGTCAGGGCTGAATCCTGAATCCCTGGTGCTCCCTGAAAAGCAGAAGCCCCAAGACATGGACAGAACTGGGGGACACTGGGGATGTTGCTCCCCAATCTTCAGTGGAAGTGCAGGGCACAGTTTGGAGGAAGGAAACCAAGCCAGGCAGGGCAGGGCTGCTGCTCCACTGGCTGGTGCCATGGCACAGGCATTGGTGTTGTTCCCTCCTCTCCTGCCATGGCTCCTGTGCAGGGGTTCGAAGCTGCCCTTCTGCTGCCAGTCCCTTTCTTTATACAGCCAGTAAGAGCTGCAGGGGCAAAAGACCAGAATCCACAGCTGGCAGAGCCTTAAGGGAACAGGGGAACCACAAATCCCTCCTGGCACACAGACACTAGATGCTCTCTCTCTGAATCCTGAAGTATCCTCCTATTTGCACACAGCCTCTAATTCCCCCTGGCCACACACAGCCCTAGTAACCTCCTCCCTGCCCCCTGAGCTACCCCTTGGCTGCACACAATCCACAGCTGCTCCCTCTGATGGGGTAAACACAAACACTGAATTTTCTTCTCTACCCGGTGAAATTTCTGATACACATTGCAGCTTACTATACCAATTGATTGAAAAGCTTCTGTTAGTGAAAAGCTTGTTGGGCTGTGTACAGACAGTGCCAATAGAAATCGTGGTGGTGCTAATGGTGCTGGGAAAAACAATGTGGTGAAAACTCCACGTCAAACCTGGGAAAGAGATCTTTGGATTTGGTTGTAGTGCTCACATTGTCCATAACTGCTGCAAAAAGCAGCTCACCATCTTCCAATTGTTTTGGAGTCTTTTGCCTTGAAAGTTAGTAAATACTTTCATAGTTACACTTTATTGAAGAATTGAAAGACTTCTGCCAATTTGTCGATGTTGAGTATTTTAAATTGCTAGAGCAAGGCAGCACACAATTTCTTTCTCTTTGCCAAGTGCTAGAGAGAATGTTGTTGATTTTTATGTGCATAAGACATATTTGTCTCTCAAAACACATGCCCAACATGTGTCCAAGAAAATCTTCAGTCACCCTAGCACAAAACTGTGGTTTGCTTTGGCTAGTAAGCTAACAAACAGCCTCCAAAACAGGTAGAGGCAATTGAGAAAAATGACTCATCGGTGATAAAAGTTGCACCACATAGTTCTACCCTTCAAAATAATTTAGCATGCAGCTCAGAAAAAATATTTACCACACCAGATGCAAAGACCCTGCTGTAGTCTTTGATTGAGGAAAAAATATTCACCACACCAGATGCAAAGACCCTGCTGTAGTCTTTGATTGAGGGTGGGGAAATTAAGTTACAGGAATTTTACAAGGTAGTCACGATTTTTATTCAACATCTCTGAGGTACTATGAACACTGGAAACCTGCCTTTGAGTGCCCAGACAACTTGAGTGGTTCTTGTTGAGAAGCATGCTGATGTAGGAAAATGTACAAAGCAGTCTTGCTGTTGCCTCACAAGAATTCCCATCTGAGATGAGAAGAGATGAGACCTGCTTTTCTGACAAATGGACAAATGCAAAGCAAATAATATCCTGTCACATATCTGACTGGAACACTCAGCAAACTCCCATTTCTGAAAGAGGATGGAACTTTTTTCAAGAGATGGACAATAAGGCACACAGGTCTGGCAAAGACAGTTGAGTTCATTTTGTGTTTGCTAGGCACTACTGTCCATTTTAGTAATGAATGCAGTTTGATTACCTGAAAAAAATCACATCTCAGTGTTTCTACCATGAAAGATATTTTGTTTGTGTGAATTAATTTTGCCCTAGATTGTCACTGCACTGTGTTTTATGACAATTTGCTAAAAACCAAGTGGATCCTTCAAAAAATTGATTTACATGACAAATATAGTCTGCACGAAGCGTTACGTTTTGGAGGACAGCAAGAGAAGGACAAGGCAAACACTTCTAAGCAGCAGCAACCATTTAATTGTACAGACATATATTTTCAATTTTTTGCTTATTATTAGTTAAGAGAGGAATTACCCAGTGTTTCCCAGGTCCTTGTGGAGATCAGAGTAGGAGGTGGGGGATGTGACAATTAGGGCAGGGGGCTGGGAGGTGTGAGGGAGACTCAGGGCAGGAGTTGGGGGTGAAGCACAGGGCTCTCAGGGCAGGAAGTTGAAGTGTGGTGGGGACTGAGGACCAAGGATGGGGGTGCAGGAGTCAAGGAAGGAGGTGGGTGGGGGCTCTGGGTGTGGGGTAGGAGACTCAGGGATGGGGTATGCAGGAATCAGGGCAGAGACTCAGGGTAGAGGGCTCAGGGCAGAGGAATGGGAGGACTCTGGGTGTGGGGTGGGGGACTCAGGGCTGGGATATGCAGGAATCAGGGCAGAGGGCTCAGGGCAGAGGAATGGGAGGTAAATGGTTACCATGGTCTCCGGTTTGCTCAGGGTGGTGCTGCTGCAGCTCTGGCTCCTCCATGAATGCAGTGTGTGTGTGTGTGTGTGTGTGTGTGTGTGTGTGTGTGTGTGTGTGTCTGGGGGGGCAGTGGCTCATCCCAGGGGTTTGGTACTGCACTTCCCAGCCCCCCATACTTAGCAGTTGTTGGAGGGGAGATGTCTATTTCCTCTGGCCAGCCAGCCCCACCCTCACTGGTTGCTGCTGGAACGGGGGCTGCTATCTGGCTACCCAAATGGCCAGTATGCCTTCTCCCCAGCAACTCCTTGTGGAGCATACTCCCCACCTTTGGCCTCTACTATACTTGGGAGATGGAGCTGCACTGTCTAGCCCCGGGTGGTCTCAAGGGGGGCCACAATTCCAGGACTGATGGCTGGCAGGGCGGTGACTGTTACCATTTAGGACAAGGGTGGGCAAATACCAGCCCACAGGCCAGATCCAGTCTGCCAGGATTAGCCCCTGGCATGCCCCCACGCCACTGTATTTACCTGTGTCCCCTCAAGTACAGGGGATCACAGATCCCATTGGCCACAGACCACTGTTCCTGACTAAAGGGAGCTGGGATCGCCTGTGGAGGTGCACTTAGAACAGCAGGAGTTCACAGAGCTAACCCTGGTGAATGACCACAATTTTATCACACACACCTACTTTAGGAGGCATTGGTAAACAAATGGACTCACAATAAGATGGACAGACAAGTAAACATTTCTACGATATATAGATTTGTCTTTTAATGGGGGCTCAGTGAACAGATGGACAGACAGGTGAACATTTCTACGATATAGAGATAGATTTGTCTTTTAATGGGGGCTCAGTGAATTAATGCTATTTTGAACGTTTGTGTGATAGCTCTGATTGATTGATGCTGAACTCACTGAAATTAGAGCAGTTTTACCAGGTGTCCCATATTTGACATAATTAACACACTACTACAATGACTGGTGAGCAAACACCGAGGGAGAACTGATTTGTTTTTAGAAGTTTTGCAAGTTTGTTTTTACACAACAAATTTGGCATGATAATTCTCCTTTAAGAAGTGTAAGAACTAAACTCAGGGAAGCAACACAAGGTATAAACTGGTGTTCTGAGTAAGCAGAACACAACATATTATATATTTGGATGCTTATCCAACTCTTCTGAGTTCCGCTTAGGTCTAAATAATTGGGCTCAAAGTCTCACAAGTCTAAATTCTCACAATATTTTTGTTACTTCTTGCTTCTGGCAGGACCAGAAGTGCTCCAAGGGAGGACTCTCATGAGAGAGATATTTCAGCACTTCTGCTTCTATCCAGAATAAGAAAACAAAAATATTTTAAAAACAAAAATAAAGATGCGTGGCAGAGGAAAAAAATCTACCTTGATTTTTTTTGAAAGTTGCATTTAGGACATTCATTACTTTATTTTCACTGTCTCATACCTCTCTTCATAACTATAATCTCAACCTATTTGTTACAAAAACTTTTAGGAATGTATCTTGATAGACATCTGTTACAGATAACAAATTAACATCAGTAACCATGCTAACTTGTCCAAGTAGCCTTTCCATATCTTCTAAAAAGAAAACTATTTGCATTTTTCATTTCCTTGCAATTATTGTGTCTATGATAAATCTTGAACGTTAAAAAAAATAAGTGAGTATGCAACAATAAATGGCACTGAAATACATTACTGAATGTAATTAAAAAAAAAGTAAGGGAGTATGCAACAATATATGGCACTGAAATACATTACTGAATGTATTTTACTGTGTAGATACAGCATGTAAATGTGAACTTCCATGCTGTTGAATGTATCAATAACATCATGAAATACCATTAATGTAAAATAGATGCAGAGATGTCTTCTGTCTCACAACATAAAGGATAATCCCAGTTGTGTCTATAAAACAGCTAATCAGAATGCTTCTATCTCCTAGATCCTCTTACTACTTTACGTTTTTTTTCTAGTTACCACTAGCAAACTTTCCATTTCTAACTATCAACTGCTTCCTTCCCTGGTCAAGAGTGAATTTAGATTTAGGAAAAAAAAGTCTGGGAAATAAACTAACATCTCTGTCCAGAAGTCGTCCGGTACTGTTTAGGTACAATCTCTGGCTGATGGGATCCAGGATCACCCAGTAATCAATGTTGTCCTTCAATGATAGCTCAATAGTGGGATCAGTCCCTCCTGCTGTCCCTTTTATCAGCATACTGTCCACAAGGATAGTGCCTGCAAGAAAAAAACACAAATAAAAGAAAATATGTTCACAGAGGTATACTACAGAGAAAAGTATAATTAACTTTTATTTTAAAAATATTTTGGATTTTATTGATTTTTTTTAAAAAAAGACATTCTACTTCCAATGGCCTATTTTGTCTAATTAAAGTTTAAATTATTCCCGAGGTTTCTGGAAGAGACTTTTTATAAACAATACTGTAAGTTTTATATTGGTGATTAGACCCACTATCTAGATAGGGTGGGCAATAATTTTTGATGGGGCACTGTCAGTTTTATGTTGGTGATTAGACCCACTATCTAGATCGGGTGGGCAATAATTTTTGATGGGGAAGACACTCCAGGATTTTAGTAAGTGGTCAAGGGCCACACTTTTCTACAAAGGGGGTGCAGGGTCTGGGAGGGAGGCTGGGTGCAAAAGAGAGCTCAGGGTATGGGATTAGAGTGCAGGTGAGGGTGTAGTGTCTGAGAGGCAGTTTGGGTGAAGTAGGGTGTAGGGTTTTGAAGGTGGTATGGATGCAGAAGAGCATTTTGGGGGCGGGATATATGAGGAATTGCAGGGTCCAAGAGAGAGTTATGACATGGAGTGGGGAAGAGGATGGTATAGATTTGGGTGGTGACCTGGGGCAAGAAGATGGGGTGTGGGAAGGGGTGATGTGCCAGAGGCAGGCTTTTGTGGAGAGGTGTTTATCTAGGTGGCTCTCAGCCAGAAGCCCAATGGGACCCTCAGACAGGCTCCCTGTCTGCCATCAGCCATGAGTTAGTAGACTTTGGGTTTGCTAATTTAGAGCTCAAGTATCTACATTCTTTTGTAAACACAGGCTAGGATGGATGAACCCTGGGCTCCCAAGCTGAGACTTCATCATCTAAACTTTATTAAGAGGTCTGAGTCTAAACACCCATATCCCAGACTTCCTAGTGCCCTTCCAAAATGTCACCACTCTAACCTTTGGTTCATGGAATAATGTGGGAAAACTATCCACCAACTTGACTGATTCAAAGATAATACAAATTGGCCTATGCGACTGGGGAATACTTTTGGCAATCTCCCTGGGGACAAGTCCAGTGGGGCTGCATCCAAGTGGCAAAAGAAAAGTGTTTGAACCCTGGGTGTCAGTTTGACTTAAACTTTGGCCCTCCATTTCTATAGGGTACGGGGACTCAAGGTCTGAGCCCTGGGTTAGGCTTGACTGTAAATTCCAATCCTGGATTTACAGTGTTGTGCAGACATATATACAATATCCATGGGCAGATTTCATTTTTGAATAGAACCATGAGAGAAAAACAAATTGTAGCATAAAGAAATAAAAACTAGATCTTACAAAATAAAAGGACTGCAATATGCCCCTCTATTATGCATTATTTCTGAGGCATTCAATTAGCATCACGCTTTAATCTAATACAGATTATTATTCCCCCTCTCCTTTTGTCTGTTTGCTAAATTATTGCCTAATAGTTCTATCTATAGTAAAACTCCAATAGTCCGGCATCCAATAGTTCGGCACTCCTGATAGTCCGGCATCAAAATGGCAAGAGCCTAGTTGAGTGAGCTTTGGCAAAAAATGAGTCACAAGGTAACAGCGACAGCAGCTGAACTGAGCAAAAAGGGTAAAAAAGGCTTTAAAAAACTAAAACATTACAGTATACTGTATACAGTATGTACAATAAAAAGGGTTAAGAACACTTTATATACAGTATATAATGTATACAGTATATATATATAACCAGTTTATAGTACCTCCTGATAGTCCAGCATATCTGATAATCCGGTACCACCTAGGTCCCATAGGTTCTGGATTATCGGAAGTCTACTGTAGTTAGCATTTAACATGCATTACTTAATTAAAAGACTCCAGGTGATGGAGAATTTACTCCACTTGATTAAAAGTTAAACAGATTATCCACACTCACTTCTGAAAATTTTACACTTGAGGGGGATGGCAGTCCAAAAATTTAACTAAGCCAAGAACCCTAAAGAAATCAGTCCTACCAACCTTGGTCTTCCACAAAGCAGGTTATGATGATGGATGACAATAGTTAAATATTTGTCTCTCACTTCCAGTTTGAAGCTACTTAATGTTGTTATATATTCATCTGCTACATAAAAAAAGTCTCTTACACCCAGATAATTTGATTTTAGATTTTTAAGGAACAGCCCACTATTCGTGCTGTTTGGTCTTTGGCTTGTTCTATTATAGTAATTCCTATATTCTTGAAAGGAACTTTCATTTTGCTTTTTATATCAATCCATTGTGAAGGAATTTGAGATTTTTTGCTACATTACGAACATTTGAAAATAAGTCCTTTAATATCTATCATTAAATATATTATTTGTATTAAAAATCGAACATTCAATTTCTGTTCTTTAAAATATTTGATCATTTTAAGTGCACACAGCCTACATTTTTTCTGAGCAAAAATGCCAGGTTTCTAACATACTGACAATACATCTAAAGATACAGACAAATTTTGATTCAACCTGAAATGACAGTTTCTATGCTTCTATGAAATACGTGAAAGTAAAGAGGCAGAAATATTTCCAAATACCCAGAATGTACTGGTTTTCAAGTACCTTACATGATTAGTTTAAGGGCTTTTTTTTTATCAACATCAAAAGAACACAACTGGAAAACACATTACAATGCTCAAACTTAAAACCAGTTTAGTATTTCCATAAATCCAAATAGTCCACTGATTTCTATGGAACTTATTCATTCTGTCTTGTGGATGATATGTAGAAATGGAAATATTAGAATTTTAAATTTAAAAATATAGAACTAGAAGTTTATTAGATTTGTGTGAGAGATTTTAGTGCCTTAGCACATGCACTGAAAGTGGCAGTAGGAAAGTAGGAAGGTGGCAAATGTTGTGCAGTTTATAACAGTTACTGCTCTGTAACCCAAATGTGTCTTAGGTATGGGATTTCTGATGTGGAAGGTCAGAAAATCAGGGGGGATGGACAACTGCAGCACACTTTCCTACAATCACAAGATGTGTGATTATAGGTGACTAGAAGATTCACCTACTGCTGCTCGGGTCAGTAATGTCCCTGTACACCGAAAATGTGCATGGGGATGAGGGGTTCAGTATGCAGACTGCCCTAAAGGGATAGGACAACCCCAGCCCTCTCTCATTGCAGGGGATAGGACAACCCCAGCAACCCCCCCCTTGCAGCAGTTTGCAGCCAGGTAAGAAGGTCTGCCCATGACTGCTGCAACTGCAGTAGGCACAGCTGGGGTTCAGGGCCATGTCACCTGGCTGGGGAACAGACAAAAACTCTCTCAAATGTATATAGACTAGACAGCCAGGTAAGGTCTGCCCATGACTGCTGCAACTGCAGTAGGCACAGCTGGGGTTCAGGGCCATGTCACCTGGCTGGGGAACAGACAAAAACTCTCTCAAATGTATATAGACTAGAAGATGTAGACGGTGTTGCTTGGGTCCTTAACTGTAGGAATGGTTGTGTGTGTGTAGGCAGGGGAGAGGTTAATTAAAAGGAACTCGTACGTGCTTTATTTTAATGATGGGGCTCAGGGCAGAGAGTGTGGTTGTAGGAGACAGGACAAGAGAGTGGGTGAGTGGGGCACTCAAGACAGGGGGATTATAGGTCAAGAAGGAGGATTACTGGGATCACCTGCTCCAATGGGGGCTCCTCCCCAGGGGGCCAGCAGCCAAGGATGTGCTGCCTGGAATGGTAGTGGCAATTCTGGGTAGTAGGGCTCCCCATTCCATCCGTGCAGAGGCTGTGGGCCAGGGAAGATGGGTTTGGCTGGAGGCTTTCTGGTATGGGGATCACTTACTTGGGCTGGTGGTAGCAATCACGTACATAGCAGTTTTTTATAAGTTGTTTTTTCATGCATGCACAAAGTTATGGCAAGGATGGGCAATACAGCACTCTCATTTCTTTTATTGGGCTCTGCATGTTATTGAAACTAATGAACTACTTCTAGCTTACAATGAAGTATACATCTAATGGCATTTAAAGAACAGCTGTGTCATTTATTCTTATCAAATGAAATATTTAAAAAAAATCGGTTGAAGTAGACATTGCTATATGTGAATTCTGACAGATCGGGAAGTAATTGAGTGGCATATGACTGAATGAATTTACATACATTTCACAGCAAATGAGTGCTTTATAAAGTGTCAAAATATGCAAAAGTCTTTGGACAACTGGGCTGCAAATGACACCATGTTGTTCATTTTGTGTAAAAAGTTAACCAGCATAAATATAATAAGCAACTTGAACTCCAGGCCCATATTATTGGTTTCTATATAAACTAGCTGGAATACTAATCAAACCTTCACTTGACATGACAATGATAACCCCAAAATCTGTCAGTCCTTATTCTTGGTTATTATGTCATATAATCTTTGTGGTGATATTACCTGCTATACAACATTTGCCTGCAAAAGTAAATTGGGCACCCAAGGTATGATTACAGTTATTTGTATAGCAAACAAAGACATTAAAAATGTAGCATGCATAAAGAAGTCTGGATACATGTAACTGGCTAGAGCACAATATAAACTTCAGTTGGATTCCTAAGATTTTGGAGATGAAAATTCAACATTCTTTATTATTATAAAGAGTATATATAATACAACTGAATTACTGTCATTGCCATAGCCAAAGGTTATTGCATTTAAGCAAATTTTAAGCATTCCATTTGCAAAACCTATTTAATTTAGTTTAGATCAGGCTATCATATGAATTCTGTGGTGGATTAGGAGTGTACAGTTACAAGTTGAAGTAAAGGATACAAGGCTGGACTGAATTTACGTAATAAATATGGATAAAAAAAAACATTTACCAGCCAACAGCAAGAGGTGGAACTGGAATGAGTAGTTGTGGTTCTATTCTGAGCATTTCTAAGCACTCATCATTGTAGAAGCTGCTACATGATTAAGAATCAAACTGAATTTAGCTATACCAATGGAGCCAAACAGATACGATTTAATTACATAGAAGAGACTAATGACATTAAGTCATA